TTCGGCTCATTAAAGATTAATCTTGCAGCGGCATTTTGGATTATTACTATATAAATATGCTGTCTTGCAAAACTGTTTATTGCTTTTACCAGAAAGGTGGTTATCCTTTTTGCTTATCATAAATATATGCTTATATCTATTCTCTGTGTTCTAGGCTTTCTGTTTCTTTTCCAGTTTGCTCATGACCTGTGTGATGTCCACCGGGCCACTTGCTGCAAGTTTGGCCTTCTGTTCTTCTTCCTGCTGTCTCAGGGTAATGGGACTCAGGCTGGGCCGCCTTCTCTTGGCATTCTGCTCCAACTGCGTCTCACTAGGAAACAATAGAAAAGAGTAAAGAACATGTTTAATGTCACTTATGCATTATAAAGCAGTATTTTAATATATAGGAACTAGCAGAAAGGCACATCTCACGTGAATCTGTGTGGTTCAGGAGCAATGGCCTTTCTTTGAGTTTCCTTGAACACTGGGGACTTGAGATATCGCCCGTATGAGTCCTTAATGACAGATCATAGGCAAGATTCAATTTAAGCTCAGCACAAGGCATTTGATCTGCAAGGTTTTACATGAGATCAGAGACCTTTTTCATGAGCATGTAAATGTGAGTCTGGGCAGCATCCAGTACATAACGATGAGGATGTGCCAAACCCTTCACTGTTATGTCCATTGTTTTGCCATCAATGTTGATCCAACGTGGAGCTCCACGTGCCAAAAAGGTCCTAATCAAATAAGAATAAAAAATGCCAGAGTTAAATGCTGATGTTATTCGTTTCATTAATGATTAAAACAAGTAGAGAAAAAAGAAAATATATATATTTTATAATTATGTAATTGTTATGTAAATAACAATAATAAACATATATATTACTGTTAAAAAGTTTGATAAGAAAGATTAAAAAAAATAATAATTTAATACAGCAAAGGATTAAACTGATCAAAAGTGACAATCAAGACATTCACATTGTTACAAAAAAATCAACTAAATGATGGTCTTATGAAGCACAGCTGTTTTTAACATGGGTAATAATGCACCAAATCAGCAGATTAGAATGATTTCTAAAGGATCATGTGACACTGAAGACTGGAGTAAAAGCTGCTAAAAATTGGTTGCTTTGCCATCACAGGAATAAATTACATTTTAAAATGTATTAAATAAAAATAAAAAAATACTTAAATTTTTACTGTATTTCTGATCAAATTAATGCAGTCAGAATAAGATTTTATTTGAAAACATAAAAAAATCGTACTAACCCCAAATATTTGAACAGCAGTGTACGCACAATATATAATATAATATTATATTATATAAAAAAATAACAATATATGACAGAGTCAAAAAGCCAAAAATACTATGCTTACTTATATATTTGCTGAGCCTTTTCTTTCATTGTCTCTGCAGCACCCCATTTCAGATCCTCACATGCCTCCCAGAAGGCAAGATTCTCACCTATTCACCAATCAGATTATAGTCACAATCTCCTTTAATAAATAACAATTAGTTTTTAATATGAACGTCAACAATTGAATCGCATTCTTAAAATGGGGCAGACCTAAACCAAAAAGTCACCTAATAAGTCTAACGCCAACATTGTTAAAATGTTGTTTAGAATAATGCATACCACTGAACTCCTTTTTAAGGAAGAGGCGGAAATCGGCCCTTCCCCGAGGGTCCATAAGCAGTTCTCCAAAGCTGAAAGTCCAGCACTCCACCCTCATTTTAGT